CACCCTTGTCCTGGAAGTACTCCAACTTCGACACATCATCGGGTGATTTGATCTTTTTCAGTATAAAGTATGATCGCTGTCGGGGCGCGCACTGGGCCTCAAACGTCAGGTATGGCTGGCCGTTGCGATTGGTCTTCGAGTCCCACGTGAACTTGCGGTCCACCTTATTGTAGACAATGTCGCCGGTGTGGTCCAAATTGTACTTGGGCGATTTAAAGTCCAGATGAGCACGTTTCTCTTTCAAGCCGTACGGATCGATCCACGCGTTGAGTGCCGCGCCATTGGCCCGAACCATATTTATGCTCGACTTCTCTTTACGCGATACTCGCACTTTGAACTGCAAATTAATTACATTATTAATACAATTGTTTACTAAAATATTGAGACGAGTTGTTCACTAGTGTTTCAAATCAATACCTCTTTCCATTGGGAATTCTCTGCGGAGTCGAGTTTGAGGGAAATGGACTCTTTGGGCACTCGATTAACGCTGAATTTGTATGACTTCTGACCCAAACGGAAACCATAATTGGCTAATTTCGGGTTCATCACGTTGTCTACCTTCAGGTCCAGCGCCCGGTCGTGGAACTCGCACGTGGCCTGAGCCTGAAGAGCACCCGTAGCCTTATTGTACTGGACGTCCACGTGATTCATCTTCTTGTCGTTGACGAGCAAAACGCGCCGGTATTTGAAGACATCGGGCTCTGACCAGCCAGACTCCAGGGTCACCGCTTTGGTGTCCGCTTTCCACGAGTACGAGATCTTGGCCTCGGATTTCACAAAAATGGCTTGCGTTGGGTTTGTAATACTGAATGCGAGTTAAAAAACAATATTTCAATGCCTGTTATCCATCACTAGTGTTGACCTAAAGACCTACCTTTCCTTGTGCTCAATGGTGATGAGTTTGCCTTTGGATGGCGAGTAGATGATCTTGCCAGAATAGGACAGATCCTTCACCTGTTTAATGTCGGAATAGTAGGTCACTTCGTTGCCCGGATAGGCGAGTGTGGCGTTCAGTATCTGTTGGTGGGGGCCGTCGAGGG